ATCAGCCGGGCTGTGGCTCGTACGTTGGTTTGCGTGCAGCCAGCAGCAACAGCCTGGTTGATCAGGCGCTGATCCACCAGGAGGCCTGGTCACAGACCGGGCCGCGGGGGCATTGACCCCCGAAACTCTCTCCAGGTAAACTCCAGGTAATGGGTGCCCTTTGATTGAACTTTGTATGGAAAGAGGTTTGGTTATAGGTAATATATATTTTAAGAAAAAGAGGACAAATAAGTATACAGTATATGATGTAGGGCGTAATGACAGTAGTTTGTTGGAGTTACTCACCGTACAAAACATCCATACTTATTATTGTGCCTACTACATACATAGAACACTAAACTCAGATATAAACCCTCCCCTCAAACTTCTCCTTATGAACCTCAACAGAACACATGACCATAACACAAGGCACAGATCACTCTTTGATGTTCCCCGTGTCCATCTCACACTATGTAAAAACTCAATGCACATAAAAGGCCCAAAAATTTGGAATTCATTACCTGTGAATACAAAACACTGTTTATCAGTTCAAGACTCTTCTAAAAAACCACTTACTCACCCAAAACTAAATAAATATTGAATAACTGTATTTCATAAATGTATAACCCGTGACCCTATCAAACTGTGGTTTTAATTACATTACCTAATAATAATCCATTCTCTTGAATGTACAGTAACTCATCTAATGATTTTATTCGATTTGATTGGATTAATAAATTGTATGACTACATATAGTAAACTGATCATTTTGTTACATTATGCATTGTAATGCTACAAAATTTGTACAACTATAATGCTTTATAACTAAAATGTTCAAATTTCATTGTTTAAAATACTCAATTGTACTTCATATTGTAAATTGTTTACTGTAATTTTTACCACTGAATCTATCATTGCTTAGTTAATCTTAAGTTAATTTTAAGGTGCCCATAATGCTCTGCATACAAGGGGCTTTTGGCATGTACACCCAACTACTATAATTCCTTGTACAACTGTGTATCATCTCCAAATAAAAATTATTATTATTTCTGTTATTATTATTATTATAAAAATTATTATTATTTCTGTTATTATTATTATTATTATTATAAAAGATTGTTGAATAGATTTCAGGATGTACATGTTTATTGAGGGGCCACAGATATTTCAGATAACTCTGTAGTTGTAGCTACAGTGAGAGTAAAAGGTAGATGGGATACAAGGAAAATAGAAGCAGCAAGTAAGAGAGAGGTGTTTTAGTTAGGTAGTTTAATATGTTTATTATGCACCCCATACCCATCCTGTGGGCGGTAGTCAAAAGATTACAGAGGTACATAATTGGTCCAGGGGCTGGACTCCAAAGTTTTGATAGCTGAGCAAGTTACAGAGGTAATGAACTCACAATTTACAAAGGTAATGAACTCCAGGTAGGTCTGGTCACAATCATGACAAGTTTTTATTTAGTTAGTTTAATATGTTTATTATGCACCCCATACCCATCCTGTGGGCGGTAGTCAAAAGATTACAGAGGTACATAATTGGTCCAGGGACTGGACTCCAAAGTTTTGATAGCTGAGCAAGTTACAGAGGTAATGAACTCACAATTTACAAAGGTAATGAACTCACAATTTACAAAGGTAATGAACTCACAATTTACAAAGGTAATGAACTCCAGGTAAGTCTGGTCACAATCATGACAAGTTACAAAGGTATTTACAGATTACAGAGGTACGTAATGGGTCCAGGGACTGGGCCCCCAAAGTTTTGATAGCTGAACTAGGTACAAAGGTAATGAGCTCACAAGTTACAAAGGTAATGAATTCTGTAGAATGGTTACTTACGTTTATACTTTGGCTACAATCATGAACAAATTATAGAGTAATGAGCAATTCACACTTCCACACCCGGTCACAATTGTAATGAGTTATTGGTGCAAATATTGATTGTTGAGTCACACACACACACACACACACACACACACACACACACACACACACACACACACACACACACACACACACACACACACACACACACACACTTTAGTTTAATATCTTTATGCACCCCATACCCATCCTGTGGGCGGTAGTCAAAAGATTACAAAGGTACATAATGGGTCCAGTGACTGGACCCCAAAGTTATGATAGCTGAACTAGTTACAAAGGTAATGAACTCCAGGTAGATCTGGTCACTAATCATGGCAAGTTACAGAGGTAATGAATCAGCTTCACTCCTACACATGGTTACAGTCATGAACAAATTACAAAGTAATGAACCACTGATACGTCCACACCTGGTCACAATTGTAATGAGTTATAAATACAAATATTAAGTGGATCATACACCCACACTAGTGCGCGCGCGCACATACACACACGAGGGCGCACGCACGGACATGTGCACACGAGCGTACAAATATATGCATACACACAAGGACGCACACCCACACACACACACCCACACACACACACACCAACACCCACACACACACACCCTCACACACACCCACACACACACCCTCACACACACCCACACACACACACCCACACACACACACCCACACACACACACCCACACACGCACACACACACCCACACAAGTTACAAAGGTATTTACAGATTACAGAGGTACGTAATGGGTCCAGGGACTGGGCCCCTAAAGTTTTGATAGCTGAACTAGGTACAAAGGTAATGAACTCACAAGTTACAAAGGTAGAGAGAGGTGAAGGTTTATAAACTGAAGTTGGAGTCAGCTTGGGTAAGATATAAACAACTATTGGAGGATAGATGGACTAGTGAGAGTATAGGCAATGGGGTCAAAGATGTGTAACTCGCATAAATTATTGTATAAAGAATATGAAGAAAATCTGCTGGTAAATTGTGCAGATGAAGAAGAAATGGAATTAGTAATCTATGAATATTATGACTTAGAAGAGAAAATCTTGACTTGTAAAAGTAGGGCATTAAATAAATTAGTCAGCCCAGTAATGTAAATACAATGTCAATGCCCAACTATCAGAGCTATGTCTACCTATGTTGAATCCAGGAGACAGCTGGGAAAAATTCTGGTTTGCATTTAAGGCAGCTGTACAAAACAGGAATGATCTTGCAGGTGTTACTAAATTATTTTACCTTAAAAGGCAGGTAAAAGGTGATGACCACATCTTAATGCAAGGCTTTCCAGAAGTTGACAGTAGTTACACAGAAGTAGTTGATTTGTTAGAGGTCACCTATGATAATTTAGAACAAAGTAGGTTGGACCTAGTAACTATTGTGGTCAAATTTAAAAACTCCAGAGCACACTTATAAAATTTACAGCAATTTAGAGTCAAATTGGAAAGCACTCTTAAAATCTTAAGTAACACATTTGATTTGGATGGATCAGATTGGATATTGAGTGCTATTGTACAGAATAAATTGACTAGTAAGAGCAGTAGAGGAGTTAGCTAATAAGTACCAAAAAGGATATTCTTCTCTGGAGGAAATAAGAGTAGGTCTTCAAGAATTAATTGTACAGCTACAGACTAGTCAACCAAATAATTATAATAATAATAATAATAATATTTTTTTATGTGGAGATGATACATAGTTGTACAAGGAATTATAGTAGTTGAGTGTACATGCCAAAAGCCCCTTGTATGCAGAGCATTATGGGCAGCTTAAAATTAACTTAAGATTAACTAAGCAATGATAGATTCAGTGGTAAAAATTACAGCAAACAATTTACAATATGAAGTACAATTGAGTATTTTAAACAATGAAATTTGAACATTTTAGTTATAAAGCATTATAGTTGTACAAATTTGTAGCCTTGCAATTAAAAACATAGTTTATAAAAAAATAAGGACTGATGTAGCTGTTAAGTTCCACAAAGGGAAGAAATACCCTAATGTTAATTATCATAATTTATCACATAAAAATAATATTGAAACATATCAAGTGGAATGAACCAGGAATAAAGGTTCACCACAGGAAATTAAGAGGAATAAGTACCTAAATAAGGGTGGCCCGGTTAATAATGAGCAAGTAAAGCAAAAAGGGATGGTCTTTTTTGCCAAGGTACTCATCCCTCAAAAGATTGTAATGCCTATGGTTCCTGGGATGTTAAAGTAGATAGATTGGAAGAACTTAACAGGTGTTATCAGATATTTGGGCAATCATAATGTGATGGATTGCTATGCTAAATTAAATAATTATCAGTGTCGTAAAAGAAGGCATCATATTGTAATGTGTAATAATAATAATAAAACTAGCAGCTAATATAAATGATGATGGAATTGTTGAAGTAGCCTTACCCATAGTGAATACAAATATTTGGGATAAAAGGCGTAAATCAAAAAATGTAAGTGTCTTGTTGGATCAAGGGTCGCAGCGACATTTCAGTTCTCCTAAAACCTGACTGGTAACTATGGAGTATGTTTTCCTCACTAAGATACTTAACTACTTGACAGTATACCGCCTTAATTGTGCCCTCCTCAAATTATGTGTATGTAATAATTCAGGACTGTGCCTGTAAACTTCATACACACAATTTCTCACAGGTTAAGTGCAATATAAACTAATTTAATAAGCATATACAGTCCTATATTATTGCAAACTCTACAAAAAAAACGTCCAACTCCTTGTTGAAGATCTCGAAATTTGCCCCAGTCAAGATTATTTAGCTTTTTGGAAACAAATTCAGACACCAAGACATCCGCCTGAGATTCATACATTGCCATAGCAGAACACAACTCACCAATTAGAGAGGACTATCATATCAATAACATACGTTCTGAATACAAATCACACACATTAGAGAAGACCATCATACCATGTATAAACGTTATGGTGTGATATTCAATATTTCAAAAAGTGGACGTTTATATAAACCAACAGAAAGCCTCGGTCAAATGACCTAGAGTTTCACTTTGTAAGTAATCTTATGACCAAGAGACATTTTCCGTTTTCCCTGGTGAACAAAATAACACCCTTCCCCTCTATCACACCACAGTGACTAGTAGTAGCAGTTATTGCACTCACCTTCATCTGCCACATGAGAACATGAGAGTCTGGCTGGTCATTCAGTACGAAGAAGTTTAACCAGGAGATCCAGTTGCGGGTGTGCATCAGCACGGTGTTGTGAATCTGTAGCAGTTTGTACTAGAGTCAAAAACCTGAATATTGTTTATTACGTGTGGGTTCATTAAAGTTAATGCCAAGTGTTCGTTGTACTTTTGTGTTTGCAAAGTTAATGTTTATTACTAAAACACCCTCTGCTATCCACAAGTTCAGTTTTAATGCAAGCAGCAATGTTTACTAGAGTATTAACTTACAGTAGCAGATTGAGGAAGGTCCTCAGTGGCAGTCTTAGCGAGGGCCAGGAGCTGCTCCTTGCTGGTCACTCTAGTGAATCTTCGTTCAGCCATGCTGTTCTACGGAGATAAAACACCTCAATTATTGGAAGCGCTTGAGGTTCCTAAACCTGTATTCCCTGGAACGCAGGAGGGAGAGATACATGATTATATACACCTGGAAAATCCTAGAGGGACTAGTACCGAACTTGCACACGAAAATCACTCACTACGAAAGCAAAAGACTTGGCAGACGATGCACCATCCCCCCAATGAAAAGCAGGGGTGTCACTAGCACGTTAAGAGACCATACAATAAGTGTCAGGGGCCCGAGACTGTTCAACTGCCTCCCAGCACACATAAGGGGGATTACCAACAGACCCCTGGCAGTCTTCAAGCTGGCACTGGACAAACACCTAAAGTCAGTTCCTGATCAGCCGGGCTGTGGCTCGTACGTTGGTTTGCGTGCAGCCAGCAGCAACAGCCTGGTTGATCAGGCTCTGATCCACCAGGAGGCCTGGTCACAGACCGGGCCGCGGGGGCGTTGACCCCCGGAACTCTCTCCAGGTAAACTCCAGGTATACACCACAAATCCTCTCAATGTGCTTGCTGGCAGCACTGCAAGGAAATGTAAGTAGGCCTACTTTAACGTTCCTTTCTCGTGTACACTTGACTGCATACATTAGGCAAATACATATGGTCAGTGTATGGTTCACTATGACCCGATAAATCGTGATGACCCTATTGTAAACAACTCATCTTATAACCTGTAGTTACAAGCGGTCGCAATATACACAACGAAAAGCAAATATTACTCCAGAAAAAGCGTCTTTCCTCCAATAATTTCACCAATCAACTATAGTGATAATATAGCATTTGTTATGGTGGAGACCGAAAAATCCTAGAAAAGCTACATACATTGATCGATAATCCTTCAGGCTGTACATAAAGGTCTCGACCGTTCTTCATTGTAGGAGCTGCCAGAAATCACCAGTTCTTCAACACGCAAGTTATACTTTTGTATCAGTATAATCAGTATTACTCGGTTAAATGATTTTCAGTAGTTCCTTCATGTGTTAGCCCAAATCACCGATCAGATATGATTTAAATAAGTGACCCACTGATCAGATCCGACTGGTTCCGAACCCTTGACTGGTCCGAACCCTTGACTGGTTCCGAACCCTTGACTGGTTACGAACCCTTGACCGGTTTCAAACGGATTCGTTGGACAATAAAGCAGACTGTAAACAGACAGGGTTTTAGGCACCCTTATCAAACACAAACAATAAATATGAAACAGGAACGTACACCGATAAGCTGTCCTAATATACAAGTACAGTTAGAAATAGAAATACAAAAAGCCAGATCTTCACTTTAAGGAGGTTATTAGTAGAATATTCAAGGGGTTACTAGTAGAACTATAGTAAATCCACCATTCAAATCACATTATGAAGCTCTGTGTAGTCTGCAGTCAATCAAACAAACGAGCTTCCGCATGGATAACTTGCCATTTTGTGTGAAAATTGGTGTCACGCCCCTTGTGCAGATAACCAAGAACTATCTACAAGCAGTATTAAATCAGGGAAGTGTTTTTGGGTATGCCCAAATGAGAGAAATCTGTGGATTAAAATCACATTGGTATTAAAAGAGGATAACATCAAAGCAGCCTTCATAGAAAACCTGGAAGCACTCTATAACAGATGGGAAAATAAAAAATCTAGGCTGGATGGTATCGCCCTTGATGCTGGCCATGTAGTCAGAAACTGTAAGGCTGGAGGTGCTGTCCTGGGTGACAGTAATGGTAAAGCTGGAGGTGCTGTCCTGGGTGACAGTAATGGTAAAGCTGGAAGTGCTGTCCTGGGAGACAGTAATGGTGAGGATGGAGGTGCTGTCCTGGGAGACTAATGGTGAGGATGGAGGTGCTGTCCTGGGAGACAGAAATGGTGAGGATGGAGGTGTTGTCCTGGGTGACAGTAATGGTGAAGCTGGAGGTGCTGTCCTGGGAGACAGTAATGGTGAGGATGGAGGTGCTGTCCTGGGAGACAGTAATAGTGAGGATGGAGGTGCTGTCCTGGGTGACAGTAACGGTGAAGCTGGAGGTGCTGTCCTGGGAGATAGTAATGGTGAGGATGGAGGTGCTGTCCTGGGAGACAGTAATGGTGAGGATGGAGGTGCTGTCCTGGGAGACAGAAATGGTGAGGATGGAGGTGCTGTCCAGGTAGTCAGTAAATGTACGCATGAGGGAATGCATATAAATGACCTCGAGGGAGACAGGAGCTGTAGTGGGGACACAAGTATAGTCAAGGACAAGATAAAACCAATATTACAAACTAGTAATACCAAAGGAGATAGCAAACAAGGGGACTCCACTAGCAATAGTGAGGATATATTACCAGAAACAACTGGTGAGAGCTCCACTGTTAGTACTAGTGAGGATAGGAATGAGACAGGTAAACGTGCACCAACAGGGAATACAGTCACAGAAACCCAAGACAAACGGAAACCAAGCCTGTGCACATGCTATACACTTGGTATCTACAGGCATGGGAAATCTGGAAAAACAGATGCGACGTGCAACTATGACCACCCTAGAAAATGCCGTGCCCATATGACAACAGGAAAATGCAAACTCACTTCCTGTAAGCTTTTTCACCCTGAAATGTGTCCCTCTTCAGTACAGGAAAGACTGCTATAACTTAAATTGCCAGGCACACCATCTAAAGGGGACAAAAAGATACAAAACATCCAGGCCATGGGAAAACCTGGGTAGCCATAGCCACTCAAGAGGGAGAGATTTTTTAGTGCCAGGAAGGAAAAAAAAAAACTGGCAGGAAATGGTGGAAATCGTACGCCAAATCCAGTCATTTCTTGAGTGGAACCATAGTCGATGGCCTCCACTCCAAACCAACAGATACAGATACTAGTGCCGGAAAAAAAGTCTCCCCCAGTACCACCAATACCATCAGGCTGATGACATTCTTCTTTGCAAATATACAGGGAAAAAGCCAGCAACGAACAACAAAATACCTTTTACCGGGACAAATTGCCGGGGAAAAAGCAATATTTGCGGTTTTCCAACAGAGATCCCAAAAGGATATTGGACAAGGAATATGGATCCCAGGTTAAACCCTATACAGATGTGACAGAGTGAACAGGCAAAAGGGGGGGAAGGGTGGTCTGTATATCGCAGAGCACTTGTTTGCACAAAACGCTTAATGCCTCATTAGAGTGAAGTTTTAGCAGTAAAGACGAGAGCCAAAAACCTAGTCTTTGGGGTAGTTACAAGCCCCAATGCAAGGCCCCCAGCAATTCCAGGAACAGCGTCAAAATTGCCCCTGTCGGGAAAAATTTCCCCCAGCTCCTCCCCCCAAACTTTTTGCCCGGGGGATTTCAACTTGAGGCACCTAAAAGGGAGGAAAAGCAAATAAGCGTTTAGTGATCACCAGGGGGACTCTGACGGAACTCACACACACAGACGACTTTAAATCTCTGCAAAAAATTCAATTTAAACCAGCAAAAACAGACCCTACTAGAGGAGAAACACTAGACTTCATCTCACAAACAATGAGATCGAACGAAATGTCACCATATAAAAAAACAATTCTCGTACAACAAATCGGGGTTAGACATGTATGCGCGGACCCCCGACAGACAAAATGAGATTAGTCACGAGGGGCCTTCACCAATTCAACTTCAATAACAAGAAAAAAGTGGGACCAAGTAAATCAAAACCAGACATTTAAAAACGGGGAAATGACTAAGCAACAAAGACCCCAACTTATGCCTAGGACAGTTAACTCGGTGGCCCGATGTAAGCTCAAAGGGTTATTCCCTTTTAAAAAAAGGAAATAGTGTAAAATAGAAAGGACAGGCGCTCCCTTTACAGGCGACGGAAAAGAATAACGAGCGGCTAAAAAAGGGCCCAAAAAATTTTGAAATGCGAGGATCACTGGGCGGAAATAGCAAACATCGAACTTAAGCAAAGGAATCTTAAAGGAGTCAGGAATTGCGGGAAGAACTAAAAGCCATAAATGAAATCGAAAGAAACCCAAAGTATTTCTTTTCTTATGCCAAATCAAAGTCGAGAACAACATCCAGTATTGGGCCTCTACTTAGTAAACAAGATGGGCCCTACACAGATGACAGCAAGGAAATGAGTGAGCTACTCAAGTCCCAATATGACTCAGTTTTTAGCAAGCCGATAACCAGACTGAGAGTCGAAGATCAAAATGAATTTTTTATGAGAGAGCCACAGAATTTGGTTAACACAAGCCTATCTGATATTATTCTGACACCAAATGACTTCGAACAGGCGATAAATGACATGCCCATGCACTCTGCCCAGGGCCAGACTCATGGAACTCCGTGTTCATCAAGAACTGCAAGAAGCCCTATCAGGCTTTTCATCCTATGGAGGAGCATGGACACGGGGGTCGTCCCACAGTTACTAAAAACAACAGACATAGCCCCACTCCACAAAGGGGGCAGTAAAGCAATAGCAAAGAACTACAGACCGATAGCACTAACATCCCATATCATAAAAATCTTTGAAAGGGTCCTAAGAAGCAAGATCGCCACCCATCTAGATACCCATCAATTACACAATCCAGGGCAACGTGGGTTTAGAGCAGGTCGCTCCTGTCTGTCTCAGCTACTGGATCACTACGACAAGGTCCTAGATGCACTAGAAGACAAAAAGAATGCAGATGTAATATATACAGATTTTGCAAAAGCCTTCGACAAGTGTGACCATGGTGTAATAGCGCACAAAATGCGTGCTAAAGGAATAACAGGAAAAGTTGGTAGATGGATCTATAATTTCCTCACAAACAGAACACAAAGAGTAGTAGTCAACAGAGTAAAGTCCGAGGCGGCTACGGTGAAAAGCTGTTCCACAAGGCACAGTACTCGCTCCCATCTTGTTTCTCATCCTCATATCTGACATAGACAAGGATGTCAGCCACAGCACCGTGTCATCCTTTGCAGATGACACCCGAATCTGCATGACAGTGTCTTCCATTGCAGACACTGCAACGCTCCAGTCAGACATCAACCAAATCTTTCAGTGGGCTGCAGAAAAC